AGCGTGGCCTTTTCCACCACTTTTAAGGGGGTGGTTCGGACCTGGTACCGGAACCTCGCACAGGGATCGATCAAGAGCTGGACGCAGTTCACAGATTTATTTACCTTGCACTTCATCACCAGCCAGAAGTGCCCGAGGTCGCAGGAGAGCCTCCTCAACGTGGTTCAGAGAGAAGGAGAGTCGATTAGAAGCTACATCAAGTGCTTCAACGACACCTGCCTGTAGATCCCCGAATTAGACCCGGCGGTAAGACTCACGATAGCTAAGAAAGGAATAACTCAGAGAGTTTAAATGGCGTGTGGTGGCCAATAAACCAAAAGACATCACTGAATTCCCCAAGCTAGCTGACCAGTTCATCGGAACCGAAGAGGAAATGAACCAGAAGACTGACAACCCGACAGAAAAAAGAAAAAGAGTCAGTGACAACACAGGTAGTGACAGGCACAAAAGAAGAAAGAGCAAGTCCTCGAGTAGGGGAGGAAACAAATTTGGAAGCCGATCTTCTTCGCGATCTTGCAAGTCAGGTCGACGCTCCTAAACTTCACCTATTGAAAGGATGAACTACACACCTCTCAACACTAAGCGAGGAGAAATCCTAATGGCCATCAAGGACTCCTCCTTTGTCAAGTGACCTCCTAAGTTGAGGAAAAATCCTGTAACAAGAAACCGAAACGTCTACTGTCATTTCCACAGAGACCACGGGCACAACATGGAAAACTGCAGAAACCTCCGCGACAAGATCGAGGAACTCATCCGCCACAGATACTTAAAAAATTTTGTACAACAAGAAGAAAGAAGCCAGATCATCCTCCAGCAGAGAGTGATCAGATCGCGCTACATCAATGCACATGTACTATACGAGCCCCCAATTTTAAGCAATCTTTGGGAGAAGGAATGATATGGAAAATGGGAAAAAAAGAAAAATACAGACTAAGATTTCACTCTTTAGGCTTGAAAGAAATAACAGGCAAAGGTCAATGGCATGGTTAGAAGAAAAGAGGAAGGTTTAACTAACGCTTTAGCTGCTTATTAAGCCGTGGAACTAATGATTAGGCTACAAGCTAGTAATAAAATACATGGCCTACACCTTTCACCAATAGCGCCCATGAATTTATTACTGACTTGAAAATTCATCATTAATTCCACAACCCAACAGCCAAAACGTTCAGTTAATCCGAATTTGAAAGAAAATCTTAACTCATGGTTTTTAAAGTCGATCTGGTGATCAAACCGATCAGGGGTCCTGTTACTGGGTTAAACGGTCTGACCGTTTGAACCAAATGCTTAGCCCGTTCTGATAAAAAATAAATAAATAAAGTCAAAACCGTTTAAATAGTTAATTGCCCGATTCAGTGGTTTGTTGACCAAAATCAATGATTTTAGAGAAAAATGGAATTGGTCAAGTGACCGGTTCCCCATTTTTCCAGTCCGGTCCGGTCCGGTTTTGAAAATCATGCCTTAACTCATTCATCATTCCACCATGGATGGAATTAATTTTGCCGGGGAAATCAACTGATGTTGCCTTTGAAATTGGATTTCCGCATGCATATTCATTGAGCTTGTTATGTCTCATGTGAAATGCAAGTCATGACCCTCGACTGACTTTATAGATTTCTTTTCCATTTTCTTTTTTTTTTGTCGGTAAGTGCTGATAGATTGACTCAGTGACTTGACTGACTTAAAGTGGGTAAGCTACTACGACGTAGACTATAGTGCCCACGTCAACTTATGTGTTGGGGTGGGTATGAACGGCCAAGTTACGATAGGTAATCCCACAAATCCCAACAACTCCTATTTGTTCTACAAATTCTGCTTCATATCATAGGCCAGCTGACCATTTTAACAGAGAAGCTTCCTTTAACAGAGAAGCTTCCTGGAAGATGCAGGAAGGATAGAAAACATGTTTGGTAAAAAAGTAAAGAACACTTAAAATCAGGAATGAACTGTATCTTTAATCCAATTCAACCACCCAAAAATAGTACATGCCAAAAACAGAAGTCTGCCTTGAAAAGTTCTGGCAACACTTTTCAAAGCTTTTCATTAGCTTCCTTTCACTTAGACTGCATTTGGTTGCAGTGCAATTTAATTTGTATTAGTACAAATGCGTGAGAATACAAATGAAAAAAATATAAATTCTTGTTTAATTTTGTTTTGGGTTTTATTTTATTCTTTTTTATGTCTTAATTCACTTTATTTATATTGCATTGCAATCAAACAAAATAAGCTAAAATTTGAAACAGAAATAAATCAGAATTTACACTTAAATCGTTTGCACTGTCATAGTTTTGCATCAGTGCAAATTTATTTATATTACAACCAAACACAGCATTAATTTCATTCCTCGGCCTCTGTTAGTGTTAAGCAACAATATTGATCTGTTAAGCTATATTTGAAGCTTTAAAATTTCTTTCCTTCTTTCTTTTTTGTCTGATGAAAAAAAAGGACTTAAGTTTAAGCCCGCCTTAGACATTCTTTGTTGTTAGGATTGTTACTTTTAAGTGCTTTCAGGTTCAAAACAGGAATGGGGGCACTGAGGAATCCTCTGTTTTTCCATTCTGTCCCTCTTTCTCTTAGGCTATGTTTGGTTTGAAAGAAAAGGTGAGGAAAGGAAAGGAAAGGTAGGAAAACATTTAGAAACCTTGTATGTTTTTAAGGCTCCGTTTGGTTTGTAGGATGGGGATGAGAAAAAGGGAATATCTCTTATTTGTTTTGAGGGAAATAGAGGGTAGGGATGAGAAAAATGTGGGATGCGAGATCTCAAAATTGTGGAATCGGGGTCATACCAAAACAATGCGACCTTGATGGAAAAACTTGAGAAACCATTGTTCATTGCCACAATCTCCTCCTTGGAAGGAGTGAAGGTAGGTCCCCTCCTGCCCTCCAATCTCCATCACTGCTCGGGGAAACTCCATTTCTCCATCGCTATCTGCTACCACTGTTCAGTAGGTCCCCTCCTGCCCTCCAATCTCCATCACTGATCGGGGAAATTCCATTTCTCCACTGTTGTCCGCTGTCGCTACTCAAAGAAACTCGACATTATTGGAAGGAGCGGAGGTGCACTGCTCATGGGGTGGGGACTGAGGAAGCAAAGTGCAGATGACTAGGGAGAGGCGGAGAGGCTGTGATTACATGGGTGTGATCCCACGCCACTCTAGTGAGCCGTGACCATTGGAATTTGGAAGCAGCGTACACTACCTTCCCTGTTCCCTGTTCTCTGTGATTACATGGTAGTGGCAAGAGAACTAGGCAGCGGCGAAGAACCAATAGTGCTTCCTTGTTCCTTGTTCTCTGTGATTACATGCGGTGGCAAGAGAACCAGGCAGTGGTGAAGAACCAATAGAGTGCTTTTCCTGCGAAGAATCAGCAGTGCTTCCCTGTTCCTTGTTCCTTGTTCTCTGTGATTACATGGCGGTGGCAAGAGAACCGGGCCGCGAAGAAGAACCAACAATGCTTTTCCAGCGAAGAACCAACAGTGTTTCCCTGTTCCTTGTTCTTCCCTTCTTCCTCCCTCACCTTCTTCTTCTTCTTCTTCTTCTTCTTCTGGCGAAGAACCAACATTGCTTTTCCTTTATTTTCCCATATATAAAACTAAACACTGGAAAGTTAAATTTTTACAAAATACCTAAAAATGGTAGAACGCAGGGAATACAAGACGACATGATTTGTCCATATCCCCTAGTGGTTCAGTTACTTGAGACCATAGAAACCTAAAGTAATTATTAATTCTACCGACCAAAAGGCTTTTCAAATCATTTAAGTTTCGAGTTATCCAGAAGAAGCTAATTACAAACTTAAAACTTTGTTATTAGAGCATGTTTGGTATTTTCCAAATCATTTAAGTTCTAAGTCATACACAAGCAGCTAACTACAAACTTTGTTATCAGACCATATTTGGTATTGTGACCATTTATTTAATTAGTAGTTTTATATTGATTTATCTTGAAAGATGAGAAAGTGATTGATAAATGTTCATTTGGTGTTTTTTTTGTTAATTATTAGGCACCATATAAGTTGAATAATAAATAAATAGCTGGCTGGATGTTGGAAGAGAGATAAAAATAGTTTCTTCCAATAGTTGGCTCTCACACTAATCGAAAAATTTAATGTTACACAAATTGAAAAAATGTTTATTTAATAATCTTGCCGAATAGCATTTTGGAATAAACGCTTATATGACAATAAACTGACACCATTTTTCAAATAAACGGCCATAGAGTCAAACACCATGTAAAGCTTGTATTACAAATACAACGGCAGAACCGCTAATGTCAAAGTGCTGTAGATACCTATACCTTAAGCCAATCACATTTCCCATAGATTTTAATAGTCAAAAGCTCCCTTTTGTAAGATGATAAAAGAGATATTTCCCTTAGTAATAAAAAATTACCATGGAAATACATTTTATATTTTCTCTTAATTGTAATGTTGTCAAAGAATTTGCTTCTAGCTATAAAGACGTGGCTATCTCATGAAAATCTCTGAAGCAAGGCCAACAATATCGCACATTCAGTGGTCAGGTGACTCAGGTCATGTAGAACCTTGTAGCATTCTAACTATCAAACACGCAGCATGCAACTTACCAAGATTTTTATGCTAACAAACACACTATATGAGATTGTTTTGGAATTTGAGAGCTACATGGGAAGATGATGGTCTATCATACAATGATACAAAAATCTGTCAAATTAGAGGATGTGGAAACTTTAATGCTAAAAACTGTACCAATTGGATGAACCCAACCATCCATGGCAGATACAAGTTTCTTAACTGGACACAATTTCTTCCTCCCACGTAAAAGGATGGAAGCATTGATGCTTACAGTCATCGCAGTGATTGGTAAATCAGGGAGACCAATTGAATAGTATGCCATGAATGGTTGGGGAAACCAAATAAACAGTAGGACCATCTTGGTCTTTAAGCTTAAGGGGTGTATGTTCCTTTGTCAGTACCTAAACTACAATTGGAGTGAACTTTTTCTATCATGTAATGTATGCTCCATAGAGGTAATAACAGGATAAATTTCATATTGGGTGTTGCACATTATGTGCAAGTTACCAAGAACAGCGATGTTGCATGTCAGCCCAAGCACGCATGTCCAAACAACTCTAAAATCTCTGAGAAAAATGTCTGTTGTCTACAAATCAATGATCTCCGTAGCAAGGCATATAATCAATCATATATCTGACAAAATTGCATTAACTTCTGTTCCAGTAATTGTTGCAATAGAAGGACACGGTTGGAGAAAGTATTGTTTGCACCTGAAACAAAAGGTATCAATCGCTACCCCATTTCCTTATCACGCTCTCTTTAGCAGAGACAGTGGCATAGGATTCCTTCTTTGGTGTATTGTCAGGATCAATGAAAGTACCAGCTGGGAAGAACTTTCTTGAAAAGCGTGATGTTATGAAGGTGAAGCCATTCCTCGTCCCTCTCAAAGCAAACAGCAGTGGATTAAAGATGATAGCTAGTATTAATTCCCCTTTCGCAATCACAAGATACTGGCAATCCAAAGAGAGAGTATTACTATAATCAGATGAAACAGAAGCTACTAAAATGAAACCCACACAAACAGAGAGGAAACTGCTTACCATGAAAATAATACCTAAAATGGCAAGGCTTGCTTGCTGTGCTTCTTGCCAGAAATTGTCACCATTGGACCCACCAAACCATCTACCCCACCCAAACCAACCTCCCCCACCAGCATTTCCTCCACCAGATGCCTCCTCCTTTCTCTGAATTTCTTTATTCCATTTCTCAAATTCAATTTTCTTTCCACCAAGAGCATTTTCTAATGCCTTTCTCGCTTGTTCCTGCATCAGAGATGTTTACAAGGTAAATAACTAAATATAACTAAAGAAACTTCTATATTAATAGTTGAAATAGTTTCTCATTGGTTTTGCTTCAAACCCCAAAGCTACAGAATTCACAGAAATTTAGGCAACCTAAATTTTTGTTCCCTTTCTGGTACAAGAAATTGAATACAATCACCACAGTAAGCTGTAATAGGTGCAGAAGTATAACATACTATGAAGATGCAACAACTATGGTTGAACACAAATATGGGGATTTTATGTGTTTATATTTATATCCTTAACCCAACTAGAAGAAGTGCCATGTTTCATGTAACTTTAAATTCCTAATTTTACAAGCATCATCATCTATGGCCTACTTCAAAAGTTTGATATGATTTACTGAGTTGAACTACATAGGAAGACGAGTTTAATGGGCATTTAACAGGCGCCAAGGTTGTGTTTAGATTAAGCTATGGAAGTAGGAATAAATTCTGGAAGTACCAAAAATCCACCAAGACAGAATTTCAAAATGAGTACCTCACAGAGGATTTCAAATATGTTCAAGGGAAGGATCTCAATATGATCTGGTCTACCTAAGGATATCAAATTCACTCAATCGGTGCGGTTTGTTCCTTTCAAGTTGACCTTCCATAGATATGCCCCCTAATTTAGGCTGTTTTTTGGATCATGGGAATGGATTTAGATTTGGGTTGCACTTCAGATATTGAATTTGGAGGGAGAAACATATATTCCGGCTGAAAATCCACCATCATCATCATCATCCAAGCCTTATCCCAACTATATGGGGTCGGCTACATGAATCCTGTTTTGCCATTCCATTCTGATTAATGCCATATCCATTGTTAAATTATGAGTACTTAAATCATTTCTTACTAAAACTATACACTTTTTCTCTCTGTTGCCGAGCAGCAATGCCCAAACAGTGGAAAACAGAAACTTGAGGAGTTGACCCTAATTCTGTCTCCAGTTCTGAAAATGAACATAACCCTAATTCTAGCCCCCCAAATCTACTTCATCCGAAAGCATGGTGCAGTTTACTTAACAAGTTTATTTGAATGCTCAGGATAGATAGGAAATACCGGTTATGAAACAGTTGAAGAATTGAACAGGTTGCCTCAAATCAGTTCTGAAAATGAACAACATAACCAGAATTCAGGTAGACTAATTTCATATCTAGCCCCAAAATTTACTTCATCCAAAAGCATGGCGCAGTTTAGTTAACAGGTTTATTTGAAGAATTGAACATGTTGCTTCAAATATGGCAAGTAGTAAAGGATCGCAACTACATGATTACAGGGCATCTCACCAAATGTGTCAAATTATTGTGCTTAAGCAATATGATAGCCCTCCACCCCACCCCACCATCACCAAGAAAATATGCTGCACGACATTAAACATGTCTTTAGTGTAATTCTTTGAAACAAAATTGGAAATCTAAAAGTAAAAAACTAATGTGATGGTGCCAAATTATTGCACTTAAAATTTTCAGTTGTTGCTATTATAGTATTATGTGGTGAAGATAGCAGCTACCTTTCAAATGCATTAATCAAGGTATGCAAATTCAATAATAAATTTCATTTACCTTGGTTTGGAATTGCTAAACAAATGTGGAATTTAAAAATATAGTTCAAAATATGGTGTTTCCTAAAAAATGGTTAATTTAGCCTCAGAAAACCAGGCAAAGCTATTTGGTCTATGCTTAATTTGAAAAATATGGTTTGAGAGGGATTCGAGTATTTTTGAAAACAAGCAATCCTCTGACGATCTAATCCCAAGAAAAGTAGTAGGCAATCTAGATTTTGATTTTCAGTGCAGCAGCATTTCAAGGAAGTAACCTGCCTTTTATTGTATTATTACCTTGAGCCTTCATTTTGATCTTATTGAATTTTTGTTCTCTTTTAAATCTCTACCCCTTTACAAAAAACAAAAGAAAAGAAAAAGAAAAGAAAAAAAAAGGAAGAAGAAAAATCTTCTCATTCCATTAATAAATCTATTGCCATTTCTCCTAGACCAAAAATTGCGCAATACATTTTTTAAAGATGCTCATGATGCACCAATAATTACAAAGGATGTGACAAACCTTAGCTTTAAAAAATGTTTATGCAGTGCTTTTCATTCCCCATGCATTTCAAAGCAGCCTCGGAGTTTCAAGAAACAATCCAATTAATGCCCTTAAGTCAAGAAGGAAATGTTGTGGTTCATTGAAAATATGGGGTATCAAAATTTAGTGCTTGTAGCCAACTAGAGTAGCAGAATAAAAATGCACCTTGCATGGTATAAGCTAACAAAACACTACATTTCGTGTTATAAAATTTATCTTGGACACTGTTCGCTTCATCGCTTGCAACTCTTTTGTTTCATTCAAGAGAAAGAAGTTACTCACTAAATGCCCATTTGATGAGTAAAAAAGGGCGATAATTTTTATCCAGTTAATAGAATAACTCTAGTAGGAATGCAAAACTTTAGTTCAACAAAATTTCTTTTTCATACCAAAGTGATTAAATACTATCAATTTCTTCATTCAGTAAAGATTCAAGAATTTCCCGCTTCGACTTGCGTGAATACAAGGAACTAAAATAAACAAACGGAAACAGGAAGTAAAACATTCAAATTTAAAGAGAAATGAAAGCAGTAGTTACCTCTCTGCGGTTGTCTGAAAAGAGGCAAGAATATCTGCCTCTGCACCTGAGTTTCTGCTGCAGAGAAGTCCAATTATTAGGGTTTTGAGTGTAAAGGAGATTGCTGGATAAGCGAAATGAAGACGAATCGAGACGTATTGAGGGGAGAGCTCGGTGGGGTGGGCTTAGGTTGAGAACCTGCGACATGCTTTCATTCACTCTCTTTTCTTCTCTTCCTTCCGGTGTTGGTTGCTGGATGATGGATAACAGAGACAGCGTTCCTCGGTAAAGTGGAAAAGGAAAACAAATTGTCCCGCAGAGTACTCATTTTCTTCAGGTATACAATATCAAAATAATGACGTCATAATTATCATATCCAACGACCGACGTTGAAAGTAGTGGCGTTGAACTCATCTTGATCCGAATTGATAGATCAGATCATCAACCGTAGGATAGGAAAGAGCTGGTGGCCCTCCAGGCTCCAGCTCATTCATCCGAACGTTCATTTTCTGGCAACGATGAACGATCAAGAATCATCGCAAAAGCAACGCACGGTTTATTTACTCCTGCTGACTTGTGGGACCCTCGAATTTGATAGGATCATCTGATCCGTTCCCTTGAAACGGTCGACGACGGTAGCGGGTAGCCCAGCCCGTGGAACCAAATTTTCTGCCCCAATAAATAAGCCAATGGAATTTGACCGACGACCACTGAAACTTCACGGTCTCAACTCTCAACAAACACGCTGATATGCGAACGGATGACTTTTTTGCGAAAGAAACCGGAGGCAGAGAATTAAACCATTTGGAAAACCAGCGACCTTTCTAACTTTTGGAGCAGAAACCATAAAGCAGTGAACAAATCCACGGCATGAATACTTATATATAGTTTATAGAGTGTGCTCTGCTTTTGTTCAAGCGCGAAATCTTCAATTCTTCTCTCAACTGTTGTTCAAATTCTTCTTATCTTTCTTTAATTTGCTTCAGAGGTTGTTTACAAAGATGAGTGTGGAAGTGTTGGATGGTGCAACTATTCGCAATTTCGTGGAGGACGAGCAAGCATTTGAAGGCTCTGTCCACGACCGTTTCGCTCGCCTCGACACTAATAAGGATGGTCGCCTCTCCTACGCTGAATTGATGAAGGAGCTTCAAAGTCTTAGGGTATTCGAGACCCACTTCGGCGTGGATGTCAAGACGGATCCCAGTGAGCTTTCACTTACTTATAACTCCCTCTTTCATCAGTTTGATCATGACTCCAATGGGTCCGTGGATCTGGAGGAGTTCAAGGCGGAGATTAGAAAAATGATGCTCGCCATGGCCAACGGTCTGGGATTCCTGCCTATACAGATGGTTTTAGAAGAGGGCAGCTTCTTAAAAGAAGCAGTCGAACGAGAATCCTCCAAGTCATCTGCTTAATTAATTCTCTGCTAGCCTCTTCTTCAAGGCACAGTATTATCGCGTGCATATATATCTATTCCCATTTCCCAACTAGGAGTCGTGTGTGTACTATAACTCGAATAAAAGCTATAAAAAAAGATTGTCATCACCATCTGTTTGACGTTGTAGAACAGGGTATGACAATTCAAATTTTGTAATGGGTTGTTGTAGTATGATATTTCAGTTGTTCTAACTCACTGTACGAGGCGTCTCTGCTGGCTAATGTCTCAAATTTTCAGAACCTAACCATTGTAAAACTATTGATGAGGATTCAAATGTCAACTAGATTGATCTTTCATCGTTGACTCTACAGTTGCTATTCTTATTCTAATATAATATTGCAGAATTGCACAGAAGATTTTAGTTTATTTAACTAATATATAATTACAGAGAAGATCAAGTTGATCAACAATGTAAGCATCGAGACAACAGATTGGCTGATAACTAGATATAGAATTTTTTTTGCGTTTAAACACAAAGAAAACAGGTGCAGAGTCTCTTTCCTGAAACCCATTTCTATTTGTTTTTTTTTTCCTATAAACCCGATAATAGCATTTGATGTAACGCAATCCAGCTGCTCCCTATTGGGGATGATTTGGCTACCGGCAATGATAGGAACTGGGGAATCTGCAAGAGATGAATCAGAGAACCTGGGTGGCTAATCCGGTGAGGTCACTCCGATGGTTAAGTTAGCACTTAATTGTGAGCTTGAAGATGATATCAGATTATGAGAGAGCTAGAGAGCAGAGATTACGCATACTCCTATTTTCGCCCCTGGGGGGTGAGGCCTTTATATACTGGTGGAATCCTTGTGGGTTTGGTGGAGTAGTTCCTGGATTTTCGCTGTGATAGGATCTGTTTCCGTGTTAGTTGGGGATAATGCCACCAACCGGTAAGGTTGCCCATTTTCGCCTGAATCGGGGAGTGGGTGAGCTAATATAGCCGTTACAAGGTACGACACCGTAAGACGCGGGGTACGATGGTGAGATCCTTGGAATTACCACGCGACGGTCGAGCTGCCTGTGAGGTGGTGAGCTGCCTGTGAAGTGCTGGGCTGTTGGTGGCGAGTTGCCTGTGAAGTGCTGGGCTGCTTGGTGGCGAGCTGCCCGTGGCAAGCTGCCTGTAAAGTGTCGGGCTGCCTAGTTGTCACGAGGTGCCATGTGTCATAATGTCATTGGAGGGCCAAATCCGCCCTCATCATTTGCCCCCCACTCCCGAGTTGAAAGTAACTCGGTGAAGGGAGTAGATTTCTCCTTTTGGCCCGGAATTCGACGAGCTCCTAAGCGCTGATTCAATTCCTTAGGCTCTGGGAGTGACTCATAGTCCACTCCTAGATTTTGCCCATGCCGAAGAGGTGGCTGGGTCTTATGTGGTGCCGAGGTCTCTGCCAGTTCGATACTTTAACCCTTAGGCTCTGGGAGCGACTTATAGTCCACTCTCGTTGATTTTGCCCATGCCGAAGAGGCGACTGGGTCTTATGTGATGAGGAATTCTTTTATCAGTTCGTCAGTTCGCGCCTAGGCCAAGCCGCTAGGTCGGCGTTCGCGCCAGGTCNTTATTACTAGAGACAACGACTGCGCCATGTTTGGAGGGACTATTGTAAGAGGTAACCATTTCATCTTCCTTTACGAAATCATCTCCATTTACTAGTGATGTAACTGTTTCTGGTCATGTACCAATTTAATTGATGTAACCATTTCTGGTCATGTACCAATTTTTTTCGTGATGTATCAATTATTGGCTAAGTACCTCGTCATTTGACCTGCTCTCAGGTGGCCTGTGACTTAGAGGATGATGGAGCTCCCTAGTGGCGAACTGCCTGGTGGCAAGCTACTTGGTGGTGAGCTACCTTGATGAGCTGTCGGGTGCGCTGTCTTGGTGGCGAGCTTCCCAGTGTAGTGTAATCTGACTGCCCTCTGTATGAGATGATCTGCTCCTCTTTGCGGACGACGGGAGCTGAAGATCCCATCCTCCCTGCGAAAGATGATCTGCTCATATTTGTGGACGGCGGGAACTGAGGGACCTGCGAGAACTGAATCAGAGGACCCGGGGGTGTTTACTCGGCGGGGCCACTCTGATGGCTAAGTTAGCACTTTGATAGTAGAGAGCTTGAAGATGATATTAGAGAAATGAGAGAGCTAGAGAGCAGGGGTTACTTCCCTTTTTCATCCCTCCTTTTCCCTTTGGGGGGGTCGGAGCTCTTATATAGCGGTGTTCTGACAAATCTGGCGTAACCGCCTCTGATTCTCTGCCGCAGCTGTTACTTGCCAGGGCTGAGCTGGTGGGCGCAGGTAACCGTTGCAGAGTACAACCCTGCCAGACAAGGGACACCTCTCAGGGATGGTAGGCACGATGAGAGACGTGAGCGTAGGTCTCCAGATTTGGCAGGTACGGTTGTCAGGTAGGAAATCTTCCTGCGATACGCCGAGCTGCTTTGCAACGATCTACCTTGCGCCGAGCTACTTTTCACCGAGCTGCCAGTAATGTGCCGAGGTGCTTCTACCCGAGGCGGGTCTTCGTGGCCTAATAGGAGGCGAGCTACCTGTAAGTGGCGAGCTGCTTGTAAGTGCCGAGTTGCCCCTAAGTGGCGAGCTACCTATGCCGAGCTGCCTGTAAGTGTCGAGCTGCCTGTGAGTGGCGAGCTGCCTGTAGGTGACGAGCTGCCTGTAGCTAGCTCGAGCTGTCTATTTGTCAAGAGGCTGCACTTAGTTGGCATGAGGTGCCAGGTGTCATAATTTATGAGAGTAACTCAGAAAAGGGAGTAGATTTCTCCTTTTGGCCCGTAAGTCGACGAGCTAGTAAGCGCTGATCCAATTTCTTAGGCTTTGGGAGTTGCTTGTAAGGTGAGGCGGTCTCCGCCAGTTCAGTACTGTAGCCCTTAGGCTCTGGGGGCAACTTATAGTCCACTTTTGCTAATTTTGCCCATGCTGAAGAAGCGACTGGGTCTTAAGTAGTAATGTGGCCCGTAGGCTTTGGGAGCGACTCGTAGTCCACTCTTCTTGACTTTGCCCATGCCGAAGAGGCGACTAAGTCTTAAGTAGTTGTGTTACCCATGCCGTAGAGGCAACTGGGTTTTTCAACAATAATGTTGCCCGTAGGCTTTGGGAGCGACTTGTAGTCCACTCTTCTTGACTTTGCCCATGCCGAAGAGGCGACTGGGTCTTAAGCAGTTGTGTTACCCATGTCGTAGAGGCAACTAGGTTTTTCAGCAGTAATATTGCCCGTAGGCTTTGGGAGCGACTTGTAGTCCAATCTTCTTGACTTTTCCCATGCCGAAGAGGCGACTGGGACTTATGTGGTGCCGAGGTCTCTGCTTGTGAGGTGCCGAGCTACCTGTGAGGTGTTGGGCTGACCGGGTGCCGAGCTGCCTGTGAGGTGTCGGGCTGACTGGGTGCCGAGTTGACCAGGTGGGTGCCTTAGAGCTATGATTGCGCTGCATCAGCCTCGTAATGCCGATCACCCACTCCTACAAGAAGCTACTAGGAGCTCGACCTTCGGGGGCAGCACTACTAATTTTAGGTCGCTAGCTCACACGGGAGCCTTGGAAGGCTCGACCAGCAAGGGCACCCATGTAGTCTGTTGGCCGCCAACTCCCGCAGAAGCCACGAAGAGCTCATCTTTGTAAAGGGGACCTCGCGAAGAGGACTGATGAGGTTTTATCTGAATTGAAAGTAAAGTTGGTAGAACTGCTTAATCTGTTAGCTATCAACTTCTTGCATAGTCTTTGAGTTCATAAAAAATGGAAACTATAAAGCGAGATATTTAGTTTCTAAAAAGTGAGGACTTAGCTTTCTAGAAGAAGATGACTTAGCCTTTTAGAGGATGAGAACTTAGCTTTTTGTATCGTCTCCCACAGAACCACAGAGGGTTCAATGAATGTCGCGCTGATTGCAAGAGGGAGTGGCGTGTTCACTTGTGCAGTCGCTTGGGGCATCGTCAGCGTTGGGACCCCAGCCGCAGTAAGTGGTATGGTGAACTAACCTATGCAGGTAGACAGGAACTGAGGTTGCCCCCCGGAGACCTTCACTTCGTTGTTTTGTTCGGCATTGCTAGAGGAAGCCATGGATTTGATTCTGAGCTTGAGATTTTTGAATGGAGACAAGGGCTTTTAGTAGCAGTTCCCACAGACGGCACCAAATGATGTAATGCAATCCGGCTGCTCCCTGCTGGGGATGATCTGGCTACCAGCAACGACGGGAACTGAGGAACCTGCAAAAGATGAATCAGAGAACCCGGGGTGGCTAACCCGACGAGGTCACTCCGATGGTTAAGTTAGCACTTAGTTGTGAGCTTGAAGATGATATCGGATTATGAAAGAGCTAGAGAGCAGAGATTACGCATACCCCTCTTTTTGCCCCTGGGGGGTGAAGCCTTTATATACTGGAGTCCTCGTGGGTTTGGTGGAGTAGTTCTTGGATTTCCGCTGTGATAGGATCTGTTTCCGTGTTAGTTGGGGATAACGCCACCAACTGGTAAGGTTGCCCATTTTTGCCTGAATCGGGGAGTGGGTGAGCTAATATAGCCGTTACAAGGTACGACCCCGTAAGACGTGGGGTACGATGGTGAGATCCTTGGAATTACCACACGGCGGTCGAACTGCCTGTGGCGAACTACCTGTAAAGTACCAGGCTGCTTGGTGACGAACTTTCTAATGGTGAACTGCCTAATTATCATGAGGTGCCACGTGTCATAATGTCATTAGAGGGCCAAATATGCACTCATCAGCATTCATAAAAGATGATCCCACACAGAATTAATGCAAAAATACAGCGCTGAAAATCCTTGCTGACAATGGCTCAAATCATTGATTAAATGTCAAATAAACAAAAAGAGGATTGATGAGCTTTAGATCATGAACTCAGTTGGGAAGCTGACCACACTGGATCGTTCCGTGTGATGGGGTGTGTAGACCATTAGAATTTAGAAGTTTCGAGTGTCAACCAATTGGGAAGAATCATGAATCGCAAAACCAGGTGCTGATGCACTCTCAGTCGGTTCGTATATTTTTTAATGGCGTTATAAACACGGAAATAGTCGTTGGTATGTCGGTTTGAAGAAGTGGGGCGGTGCGGTGGGCCTCGCGCCAAATCCACTAAAATCGTTTTGAAGAATATGCCATCGATTCTACCTCTGTGTTTATGAAACGCCAATGGTTTGCAAATGGAATTTGACTGTTTTTCAGTCGTAAGTGCTCACGCGGTCAGCGAATCCTTGACATTGACACCGTATCTGTGCTCTTCCATTCTGTGTCGGTTCTCAGTTCTCACTCCTTCGAGAAAGAGCGGTTGCCTTTGCTTGACGCTTGTTGACTCACTGTAGTCTGTAGATCACAGAAAACTCAATAAATCACAGGTCTTTGGAGGCAGCAGTAATACAATGATACAATTCAACGTTGGAGCATCGTGTATATATAACTGCAGAGCCAACTCTGGTTTTGCTCAGAACAAACCATTAATAGAAAAGAAAAAAGCTTCCACTTGATCTCCTTATTCATCCTATTCTTCTTTGATCGAAGGCTTGAAGCTTGTTTACATTTTACGAAGATGAGTGTAGAAATTTTGGATGGTGCAACCGTTCGCAGCTTTGTGGAGGACGAGCAAGCTTTTGAAGACTGTGTTTACGATCGATTCACTCAGCTCGACAACAACCGGGACGGCTGCCTCTCGTATGCAGAAATGGTGAAGGAACTTCAGAACTTGAGGATACTCGAAATCCACTTTGGCGTAGACGTCAAGATGGATCCCAACGAGCTGGCGATCACGTATCGCTCCCTTTTCCATCAATTTGATCGCGACTCCAATGGGTCTGTGAACTTGGAGGAGTTCAGAGCCGAAATCAAACAAATGATGCTCGCCATGGCCAATGGGTTAGGGTTCCTGCCTGTTCAGATGGTCTTAGAAGAGGGCAGCTTCTTGAAGAAAGCGGTAGATCGAGAGTCTTTCAATGCATCCGCCTAATCTGTGTTCTCCTCTGTTTTCCCTTGAAAAGTCTACGGTACCTGAAACCTTCTTGTTTTATCTCTTTCCAATTTCCATTGGCTTCATTTAATCCACAATAGTGGAGTAATTGTAAGCAACATTATGCCTATAAAGGAAATTTCAGTTAGATTATTACCAAACACCACCCAGGAAAAGGAGGAAATTGGTTATTAATTCTCATTATTGTTGGAATTCTTCAAAAGATTTCATGAATTCAGAATTCTGATTTATGGGTCTATACAAACATACAGTGGATGAGTGAAAAATATCTGTCATATTGCCATACTCTGATTGGTTAGTTCAGGAAGTGCAGAAAATCTGGACACTCCAAAATATTACAATCTATGGTTATCTTCAAAGAATTGTTAGAATTAATACAAATAAGCCATGGTTAGGAAGAATTATTTAGAGCTAAAGCTGAGTTTTGGACTTAATAAGATGGAAGAAGAAACTTGAGTCCAATTGCCAATTACTTGCATGTGGTACTAATATGGGGAATTCAGGTTTTCCAACAGCTAACCTTTGGTGAGATATTATTAATAAGGAACCATTATCAGTTAAAGCTGTTAGAGTTCTACTGTAGATGGTATATTTGTTTTGGAGATCCAATGTAAAGAGATGTTTCTTTATTATAAGGACTTGTTTGTTTTTTGGATTTGTGAACGTCGGGAAAGCACCTTCGCAGGTTCTCTTTACAGCTGAATAGATGGAATCGCCACCCAGGGGAGTGATGGGGCTCCGGGATTTGCTTTTAGTAAAGAATAAATAGTGACTCCATACCACTCGGCTGAGGCAAGGCTCATCTAGGTAGGTTGAGAGGGAGAGAGGGAAGGGGTTAGGCACCCCTCTCTCCAGTCAATGTGAATGTCGAAATCCCTTCTTTGCAGAGAAAATGGATAGGAGACTCGGATCCTCTAGTAGTTCGAAAGAGTGCTCCCTTCTGCATTCCCAGACCAATCCCCTTTTGGATGCAGGGGCCTGAGCAAAAGGATGAGAAATGACTTCCTCCCTTTTCTATCAAAGTTCACACCTTCAGACTCAGCTGAATGGTCTAAGAAGAGATGGAGTGTGAACCTGGATCCACAAGCCTCGAATTGAAAAAAAAAAAACGAATGCAAGAAGCAAGAACGACAATGCAAATAAAAACGGAGAGATAAACTATCAAATAAACAGAGAATACATGACCAGAGCTACAGGTGGGAAACTAAATTCAGATATGAGGTAGTCGAGCTATACCTCTTGTGGTGTGAAATGAGAAACGGTGATGCAAGAGAATGGGAAAACTCGAAGAAGAATTGGAAGCTGAGTATGATGATGATGAGTGATGATTGTTTTGAGGATGAGGCTGAGGATGGTGATGTCACCAGGAACCCTGTTGATCCTGTTGACAATGTTGAAGTAGTTGTTGTGTCAGACATACTATTTGATTATGAGCAGCCAAAGGAGTTGGAGAGTTTATATGGTTCTGATGACAAGGAATGACCTCGATTTGATGTTTTTGCTAAGAGGCAAATGGAGAATCCACAATTGGCTATGGGTATGATATTTTCTAGTCCTACAACCTTCTGAAAGGCCTTAGTCAACTATGCTATCATGGGTGGGTTTGATTTCAAATATATGAAGAATGAGGGTACTAGAGTGATAGCTATTTACAAAAAAGAAAAGTGTGATTGGCGCGTGCATGCATCTTGGTTGTAGAGTAAAGAGGCCTTCCAAATCAAGTCATTTAGGAGTATACACACTTGTGAATGTGTGTATTCAAATACAAAAGTTACATCTACATGGTTGGCAGAAAAGTACAAAGACAAATTCAGGGATGATCTTGATTGGAAGAGTGGTGCACTACAGAATGAGACACTACGATAGTTTGGGGTTGAAGTTTTTAGATCCAGAGCTTACCGCGCAAAGTTTCTAGATCGATATTGAGGGTGTACATGTTGAACAATATAGCAAGCTACAGGATTATTGTGAAGCAGTTATGAAGATAAATCTTGGAAGTGTGATCAAGATTGTATAGGCTGAAGATGTATAGGGGAATTTTAGAGATTGTTTGTTTGTTTGATAGCAATGAAGAATGGGTTTAGAGATGGTTGTTGCCCTATCATTGGGCTTGATGGGTACCATCTAAAGGAACCTCATTCTGGTAAGCTTTTACATGTTGTTGGATTGGATGGGAATAATGAAATTTTCCCAATAGCTTTTGCAATTGTTGAGGTTGAGGTGAAGGATTCATGGGCTTAGTTTTTGACATTGTTGAGTGATTGCATTGGACCTCTAGAGGAATGTGGTTGGACCTACATCTATGATAGGCAGAAGGTACACTGACTTACACATGTAAATTTAAATTTTCTTTTGTTTATTAATTAGTTCTCATGCTAATTGTACAATGCACAATTTCTTTCAGGGGTTGGAGGAGTGCTTTTAGAGTCTTATGCTAGGGGATGACCATAGGTTTTGTGTCAGACACATTTATGCTAACTTTAAGGATAGGTTTAAGGGAAAGGATCTGAGGGATTGCTTATGGAAGGCTGGAATGTCATACACTATGTCAGAGTTTAATTGGCATATGGATAAGTTGAAGGGTCTGAATAATGATGCTTACCAGTGGTTAAGTGTTATGCCAGCTAATGTATGGTCCATAGCTGCTTTTGGACATAAAGCTAGGAGTGAACAAGTGAATTTTGGATTGTAGAGACAAGCCAATAATCACATTGATTGATACTATCTGGAGGCAGATGATGAAGCTGATCCAAACAAGACAAGAGAAGTTAAGAAGGGACAAGGGACTAGTGTGCCCTAATGCTGGGAAGAGATTGGAGAATGCAAGCATAGGCTAGAAGTTAAGAAGGGACAAGGGACTAGTGTGCCCTATGCGGGGAGTGGAAGTTTTGAGGTTGATCATTTCAAGAGAAGAGTGGTGGTGAACTTACAGTCCAAGACATATAGTTGTAGGGCTTGGGAACTAACAGGGCTGCCTTGTTGCCATGCCATTTCATGCATTCAGTCACAACATGGCAGTATTTATGACTGTGTGGATCCACTATACACTAATGAGAGGTGTCTCAAGGCATACAATCATTATGTTATACCAGTGCCTGATGAATCCCAATGGCCAAGGACTAAAGGTGTTCCAATCAAACCACCACCATTTAAAAAAACAACCTGCTAGGCCAAAGAAAGCTAGGAGGAAGGCGCCAGATGAAGTAAGTTACGGGGTCCATGTGTCGAGAAGGTTTAGGAAGATGAAGTGTACAAATTGTGGTGCTGAAGGGAAAAATAGAAGAAGGTGCAAAGGTCAGGGAAGAAGCAATGAAGGACCACCACCTCAGGTAATTCATGATATTTGTAGCTCTCTTCATTACTTAATAAATAATAGAAGTTGATAATATTCTTGTTTTGTGTACAAGAGGGTCAGACAAACATGAGGATGCAGGGTATTAGTGGGAGTTCTACATTGTTATTAGAATCCTAATCAAGTCAAATTAATCTCCATGTGTCTCATGCTGGAGATGTTATGGGCAGATGTAGAAGTATGGCTAGAGGAGTGGCATAACAACCAGCTCCACCACAACAAGTTCCAACACACCAGGATCCAAGACATCAAAAGGTAAATGCTCTCATAAGGAAACTTTTGTACTGTGTTTGTTTTTGGGTGTTATAGCTATCAATCATGATATTGTGGATTTGGTTTTTGTTGCAGGGTATTTCATCAGCTACCGGTTCTAGGGGTAGGGGCAATGGTAGGGGTGGGCCTATATCACTTAATTAGGTTTCTTCACAGGTACAAGGCCACTACATATCTGATGAGAGACGTGGCAACTCGTGACAACTCGTGACAGGCCACTACATATCTAGTGAAATTGCGAGACGTGGCAACTCGTGACAACTAGGCAACACCCAGGCAACAACTTACCAAGTTGGTGTCCCACCCGGGCACTGGCCTGGTGCAACCTGCACGCGGCCTGCGCGCTGCCTGCGCGCGGCCTGCGTGGCCTACGCGACCTGGCCGACCTAGATTAGCCTGGCACATGATCCGACCTGGCCGACCTACCCGCCCATAAGACGCCCACCGATAAACTCGGCATGCATACCCCACGAGCTCGGTAGCTCACCAAGGAGCTCGCCAAGGATCCAGGCAGCTCGACAAAGTTCGCCACAAGCAGCTCGACATAGCCCAAGGAGATCGGCATAGCTCCCCCGGGCAGCTCGGTACAGAAGAGTGGCGTATCGCAGGAAGATCTCCTGCCTAACAACCTGGCCCAGACACTGACTCACCGACTGACACAGGCGCCAACCTGACAACCTGGCCCAGGCGCCGACTTGGCCGCCTGACGCAAGCGCCAGCCTGACGACCTCGAGGAGTTCACCACTGTACCCCAGTTCTGACGGGATGTGACGAGTCTTACCGTTTGGAGGCTTTTCACCCACCTAACCCGCGAGGACTCCAGTATATAAAGACCTCACCCCCCAAGGGGGGGGAATGGAGGTAATCCTTGCTCTCTAGCTCTCTCATTTCTCCAAAATCATCTTCAAGCTCTCTACAATCAGAGTGCTAACTTAGGCGTCGGAGAGTCCCCGCTGGGAAAATACCCCCGGGTCCTCTGATTCAGTTATCGTAGGTCCCTCATCTCCCGCCGCCTACAAAGAGGAGGAAAAGATGGAGTTCTCGCAGGTCCCTCAGCTCCCACTGCCTACAGAGGAAAGAAGGTTACCTCATGCAGAGGGCAGTCGGGTTGTGCTGCACCAGGGAGCTCCACCATTTTTTGAGTCACAGGCCGCATAGTAGGTAGCTCACCACCAGGGAGCTCGTCACCAAGCAGCTCACCACCTCACAGGCAGCTCGCCACTAGGTAGCTCGCCACTAGGCAGCTCGCCACTAGGTAGCTCGCCACTAGGCAGCTCGCCACCAAGCAGCTCGGCACCTCACAGGTAGCTCGCCACCAGGTAGCTCACCACCAGGGAGCTCATCATCAGGTAGCTCACCACCAGGGAGTTCGTCACCAAGTAGCTCACCTCTAGGCAGTTCGTCACCAGGCACTTCACCACTAGGTCAAATGACGAGGTACTTAGCTAAAAAAAATTGATACATCACAAAAAATTGGTATGTGACCAGAAACGGTTACATCAATTGGCGCCGTCTGTGGGAACACGCTACAAAAAGCTAAGTTCTCATCCTACAAAAGCTAAGTTCTCCTCTTACCAAAGCTAAGTCCTCACTTTTTAGAAATTGAAGCTATCGCTTTATAGTTTACATTTTTTATGAACTCAAAGACTATGCAAGGAGCTAACAGACTAAGTAGCTCTACCAACCTTACTTTCAATTCAGATAAAGCCTCATCAGTCCTCTCCGCAAGCTCCCCCCTACAAAGATGAGCTCTTCGTGGCTTCCGCGGGAGTTGGTGGCCAACAGACTACATAGGCSCCCTTACCGGTCGAGCCTTCCAAGGCTCCCGTGTGAGCTGGCGACCTAAAGTTAGTAGTGCTGCCCCCCGAAGGTCGAGCTCCTAGTAGCTTCTTGTAGGAGTGGGTGACCGGCATTACGAAGCTGATGCAGCACAATCATAGCTTGGCACCTGGTCAGCTCGGCACCTTGCAGGTAGCTCGGCACCTGGTCAGTTCGGCACCTCACAGGTAGCTCGGCACCTGGTCAGCCTGACACCTCACAGGTAGCTCAACACCTGGTCAGCTCAGCACCTCACAAGCAAAGCCTATGAGCCACATTACTGCTTAAGACCCGGTCGCCTCTCCGGTACGGACAAAGTCAAAAAAGAGTAGACTACGAGCCACTCCCAAAAGCCTACAGGTCACATTACTACTTAAGACCCGGTCGCCTCTCCGGCACGGGCAAAGTCAAAAAAGAGTTGACTACGAGTCACTCCCAAAGCCTACGGGCCACACTATTGCTAAATACCCAGTCGCTTCCTCAACAGGAGCAAAATCAGCAAAAGTGAACTATAAGTTGCCCCTAGAGCCTAAGGGCTACACTATTGAACTGGCGGAGACTTCCTCGCCTTACTGGCAGCTTGCCACATACAGGCAGCTCCCAAAGCCTAAGGAATTGGATCAGCACTTACTAGCTCATCAACTTACGAGCCAAAAGAAGAAATCTACTCCCTTCGCTGAGTTACTCTCAGCTCGGGAGTGGGGGGCAAATGATGAGGGCAGATTTGGCCCTCCAGTGAAATTGAGACACGTGGCACCTCGTGACAACTAGGCAACACCCAAGCAACACCTAGGCAACAACTTACCAAGTTGGTGTCCCACCCGGGCACCGGCCTGGCGCGACCTGCACGCGGCCTATGTTCTGTCTGGCGTGCGGCCTGCACGCGGCCTGTGCGCTGCCTGGCGCGGCCTGCGCGACCTGGCCGACCTGGATCAGCCTGGCACATGATCCGACCTGGCCGACCTAGCCACCCATAAGACGCCCACCGATAAACTCTGCATGCATACCCCACGAGCTCGGTAGCTCACCAAGGAGCTCACCAAAGAGCTCGCCAAGGAGCCAGGCAGCTCAGCAGAGTTCGCCACAAGCAGCTCGGCATAGCCCAAGGAGCTCGGCATAGCTCCCCCGGGCAGCTTGCCACTTGTAGGGTAGCTCAGTACAGAAGAGTGGCGTATCGCAGGAAGATCTCCTGCCTAACAACCTGGCCCAGACACCGACTCGCCGATTGACACAGGTGCCGACCTGACAACCTGGCCTAAACACTGACTCGCCGACTGACACAGGCGCCTTCCTGACAACCTGGCCGCCTGACGCAAGCGCCAGCCTGACGACCTCGAGGAGTTCACCACCGTACCCCAGTTCTGACGGGATGTCTTACCGTTTGGAGGCTTTTCGCCCACCTAACCCGCGAGGACTCCAGTATATAAAGACCTCACCCCCCAAAGGGGGGGGGATGGAGGTAATCCCTACTCTCTAGCTCTCTCATTTCTCCAAAATCATCTTCAAGCTCTCTACAATCAGAGTGCTAACTTAGGCGTCAGAGAGTCCCCGTTGGGAAAATACCCCCGGGTCCTCTGATTCAGTTCTCGCAAGTCCCTCAGCTCCCACCGCCTACAAAGAGGAGGAAAAGATGGAGTTCTTGCAGGTCCTCAGCTCCCACTGCCTACAAAGGAAAGAGGTTCACCTCATGCAGAGGGCAGTCGGGTTGCGCTGCACTAGGGAGCTCCACCATTCTCTGAGTCACAAGCCGCATAGTAGGTAGCTCACCACCAGGGAACTCGTCACCAAGCAGCTCGCCACTTCACAGGTAGCTCGCCACTAGACAGCTCGCCACCAAGCAGCTCGGCACCTCACAGGTAGCTCGCCACCAGGTAGCTCACCACCAGGGAGCTCATCACCAGGTAGCTCACCACCAGGGAGTTCGTCACCAAGTAGCTCACCTCCAGGCAGTTCGTCACCAGGCACTTCACCACTAGGTCAAATGACGAGGTACTTAGCCAAAAAAAATTGATACATCACAAAAAATTGGTACGTGACCAGAAACGGTTACATCAATATCCATTACAATTTGATAGTCAGTAACCAAGTAATACATTCCCAATTGTTGCTTTTATAGGTTAGTCAAACTGTCACCACTCATGCTATAAGGAATGGTTTTGTGGGTAGGCCTAGGTCATTGATACCACCATCCATATATATAAAGGCTAGGAGTGTGGGTAGTGCTCCAATGACACCAATTGGTGTTTGTAACTTGAGTTTGATTTCTGAATCGACCCTGTCTGGACAGTCCTCTATTGTATATTGTATCTTCTTTCAATTTTAAAATAGTTACCATACCTTTTACAAAAAGAAAAAAAAAAGAAAAAAACAATCAAAGGATAGATCTGTTACAGGTAAGCCTAGAGAGATGCTCAAGTTGCAGTCATTGTGAGAAGAAGAAATAGGATTAGAAATGAGACTAATTACAAACTTGCAGATTTAATTGGGTTACTATTCAGTTAGGATTAGAAAAAATGGGATTAGAAATGAGCATATGCATAGATACCTAGGAGTAGCGTTGTTATGTGATAAAAACATAAGAGAGAGAAGACTATGATGTTTTGGTGATATGCATTAAAAATTATCTATGGAACCAGTAAGAAGAAGAGGTCTATTGCAAATTAAAGGGTCCTAGGGGCAAGCTAAAAGGAAATGGGTTGAAGTAGTGAGAAATGATTTGAGGGATCATGGTTTTACAATAAATATAGCAGTGACGAGAGTGGAATTGGAGAATATGATTAATATAGTCAAACCGATATTGTTAAGACAATGCTTTGCTGAAACTTTGCAGCAATTTTGTGAAGTTGCTCTTTCTGATGTTCTGTTGTCAATTTTGTATCTCCTGAAACTTTGCAAGTTGATGAACGAATTTAACATACTTATGATGGGTTGCCTTCGGTCTCTGAACATATCTGTTTGTTTTTAAAAATGAGTCCAACTACTTTTCTAAAATATACTCTCATCAGTTTGCTGCAAACTCTCAGATTCCCGAGCTTCTTTTTCCCTCTCCCATGGCACCTTTTGCTTCTTCTCTATAACACTTGAACAACAACAGCAGGAAGAAGCTCTGTAGAGGCATATAGCTCTTAATGGGATTGATGCTCGTGAGCAGGCACCAAAAGAGTGGAGGCAGGCTCTCAACCAGATGGGTTTCTCTCTTCTGCATTTTGAGCTTCTGTTTTGGAGTTCTGGTCGTTAATAGGTCATCTCTTTCTTGCTTGCTTTCTCCCTCAAAATGTTGGGATCTCTTCTCTACTAATCACTTTCCAATTTTCATATTTTGTTCTTTTAGTTTTCTTCTTGTGCTTACTGGGCCTTCCCAATCTTCAATGCCGTTTTGAGCTCCTGAGATAGTGAACATGCTTGTTATTGTTTTCTCATGATTCCTGGAGATTCTTTGTTTCCCCTCTTTTCTTGGAGACAATCCCACATGCAGAATGCAATCCATAGTAGTCGGTTCTGGATTCAGATTAGATTTCCAGGATTAAAGCATATTTTTTGGGCAACCATTTCGGTGATTTGGGCTCCCTGACTTTCCCTCTATTTTGTCTTACCTCAGGATTATTTTGTTCCAACCTCGTGGAAGGGGCTTTGCTTTTGTGGTCACAGAAGTTTTAAATTTGTTTATCGATGATATTGCCTTTTCACCTCCTTGGGTATCAAAAGAAGCTCGTTTGATTGTAGCTATTAGTATCAGCTCTTGAGTGCAGCTCTAATTTCCCTCGATCACAGTGGCATGTGTCAAAAGCAAACCTTGCTCAACCCTCAATTCACATTCTTTTTTGTTAGTCCTCAGTCCTTACCTTCACTAGGAGTTCCAAGGATCAGCTTTGAAACTTCTCCCTCTCCCTCTTACTTTAGGTTTTGTATAACAAAGAGCTCTACTAGTTCTCTTTTTTTAATTTTTAATTTATTTTTTTTATTTTTTTTGAAAATGCCTTGGTACCGTCATCTGGGTTGAGCATGATTAGAACAATACAGGAGGTTTTTGGTGGGTAGAAAAGGATGGACCCTAATTTAGAACAGAGAAATTAAAAGCCAAAACACTGTACTTTAATCATATAGTTAAGATGTCATAAAAATCATATAGTTAGGACGCTGGAAGGGTTATTTTGTTCAATGAGAGTGACTACATGGAAATTGGATATGATTCCTGCACCGTAAGGCTCAGTTGAATTGAAATTAACTCATCTCAAAAACAACTATTAGATTTTTTTTTCTTTTCTTTTTTTTGTAAATAAAACTCTAAAGAAAACATCAATGGTTTCAACCCCAAAAGCTAGTGGGCCAATCAACTAATTTGACTTTGATGGAAATTAGAGAATTGTCTTAGTAGAAACAACTAGTAGGTACATATTAGGACTGTAGCGTGTGGAACTAATATGCTATTTCTCTTAAATCTTTTTCATTTAGCTCATTCTATCGTGAAATCTCTTTTTTTCTAGAATTCTTTAACATTAGTTTTCTTCCAATGGTGCAGGAATCATCCTATAGAGTTCATCAGAATTTGGACAAGGATCATTGAGTTTGAATGAAGATGTAGCCAATTTGGCATATGGGTCAATTAAACCATTTTTGTTTGTTTATTTTCATGAACATTCAATACAAGTTGGAACAACACCCAATTCGGCATAGAAGCATATAAAGAATTTTTGTACACAGTGGTTAAGAGCTGAAATGTTTTGGTTGTTGAATTTTTTGTACATTTCACGAACATGCCATACAAATTTTTTGGTTGTTGGAGACTTAGGGGTGCTCATTTTTTTGTAAACATATCAATTATGGAACTGTCATTGCCCAAAAGTTCGGTGCTTGAAATTCAGTTCAAACTTAATCAAGGTTCAAGTTTCTTCTCTTTGTTTGCATTCCCATATTTCAACCTGTCCTTCATTGGCAAATAACACTTCACGAATTTCCTCCCTTTGTTTGCATTCCCATATTTCAAAACACCCCTAACAATAATAATAATGTTCATGATTCTTATCAAAACCCATGTATTAAAGATAAATAATTGAGGCATCATATATTGGTATTGATAGATTTATTGTCTTTTCAACAATCTAAAGACCTAGCTTCAAATGTTTTTACTTATAGTTCATATTGATGTTTTCAAGTTGTGGGTGAATTAGACAATTAGATTAATATATATTGTCACAACTTTCTAAGTACGTTTCAACTCAAACCACTTATGGTAAAAAAAAAAGTCATTGGCTTGATCAATACTTAGATACCTTACAAGTTGAACCACTAATCTATTGGATCAGGTCAATGGATCATGGACAAAACATTAGTTTTCTCTTTTAAGAGAACATTTACTTGTTCAAGACTATCCTTCTAGAATAGGATAAATTCTATGCTTTCCAACTCTTAATTAAGCTTGCTAATAACAAGACCAAGTAGCTAAGGTCTTATTTGGTTTGTGGGAATAGAGGTCTAGAATTGGAATCGGAATGGTCCAATTGTTTGGTTGGGTGGATTCGGAAACCCATTCCCATTCCTGGTGGAATGGCATCCCCTCATGTTTTTTGTAAACATCTACACCAATAGGAAAGACTTATTATATGCATAAGGAACTGTCATTGTAGCTCAAGGAAGTAAAGATGCTGAATTCAAGGCAGTTGTTAAGGGACTGGAGAAATCAAATCAAGAAGGTTATAAACTTATATCTCTCTTCTCTAATGCAGCACAGGTTATAAGGCCATTCAAGAAAGAACAAACATTGGCAACTGGATAACTCAAATGCATATCAGAACCATAATGCACAATATCACAAATTTTGAGAACTTTCAAGCAAAACATATCCCTAGAGATCAGAATACTTTAGCTGTCATCATAATAAAAGTCTTAAGTTCCATCCATAAGTTAGAAGTCATAAGCTTAGATCTTCAAAGGGTATACACTAACACCCTAACATGCAGAAAACACATTGCTTCCTCTCTTCTCCTATAATACCCTACTTCCTAAACATAAACATTAAAACAAAGCCAAAAGAAACAATCTTTCAAGATGTGCATGATCCCAATTAACATCTGATCACATTTGCTCTCCAGAGTTTTCACCCGGTCATTCAGCTCAGCTAGAAACTTCTCCACCTCTCTCACACGGCATGCTTGGACATTATCATTGCACATATGTGAAGTAACCTCTTCTAAGTGGTTGATGGGAATGACCCATTCAAAAAAACCACAAGGCTTGGCATTCGACTGTTTTTCCTGCATGACATATTTCTTCCGACAATCACAAAACTTTGTCTCGAACATCAGATTACTTGGTGATTGCAAAATTGAAAGTTGAGTGTTCACTCATTTCTACAATAAAGAATTTCTTTCATTAACATTATATTTCATTTTACTTAAGGAGAATTAATCTACAATTTCCGAACAATGAACTTCTAGGAAGAATAATATACAAAAAAAATTGAAAACACAAAAGAAAATGACTAAACCATAACACTATGCACATATACAAAGTATAAACCCTAATAGAACTACAAACAAAGTAAAAATAGATACTAATAGTGATAACCCTTAATATTGATCACTCACCGAAGTAGAACAAGGTATTTTGCACTTGCGACTGAAACTCGGGAGGGAGAAATCTCGTGCGGCTGAAACTTGTGAGGGAGATGACCCTTGCTACTGTAACTTGGAGCTTGCGATTGAAACTCGTGAGGAAGAAATCCCGTGCGACTGAAATTCGTGAGGGAGATTTCCCTTACTACTGTAACTCGGAGCTTGGTCACGAAGGAGAAATCCCTTGATTGCAAGGGAGAAATAATGTAAGAAAACGTATAAAACACAAAAAGATGGTTAAAATTGTCCGAATAGTTATTACTAGGGTAGTATGGGGATTACAAAATATTGCAACGACGAATTTCTCATCTTTTTGGATGGAAGGTTAACGAAAGGGAGGTCTTTATCTGGGTCTTTGTCGCAAAACAAAGTATAGGGGGGTCTTTGTCACAGACCCCATAGTACAGGGGGTCTTTGTAATTTACCCTTATAATTAATTAAAACTACATGGTGATGTGTCAATATGCCATGCCTCACGAATTGCTTGGTTCATTCACCTTTGATTCAACCCATATCAGCATGTAATTACTCATGCCAAGTCATTTGTATTAGGGCTTTCGGCTTTGTCTCACTTCAAATTTTTATGCCTTAGGGATATCTTAAGGAACACTTGTTATGAACTAATTGTAGTTCTATTAAAATAACGGAAAAGTACATACAGGCCCAATGCAGATTTTTGATTTTCATTGCAGAGGTATAAATATTCAAAATGTCAACAACCCACACTCTATACATCAACGCCAGCCCGTGAATCGGCATCAATTCCAAGCTGACACCTACCCTAACAGTACTTTGAGCCTACAAATTCTGACACTAGGCTGAACCATCATTCTCCCTTAAAATAATTTAATTTGATGCAATGGAAAACTAAAATTTTCAATTGGGGTATGGACTTGAAGCATGCCCTTGGCTTATAATAGTGCTCCCCTTCCACTTTAGCCAAATGGGATTGGAGTCAACAATGCCATTAAACATCTCAACACTAATATCACTCACTTTTCTATCATAAGGAACCAACCAAAAGACTTCTCTATGAGCGTTTTAATCATTTTGAAAGTATGACTCACTAATATCACTCACTTTTATTTCATATGGGCACTTAAACACAATTGAATCATTTTGAAAGTATGATTCATTAGAGGCCACACAACAGGGGTTCTGTTAAAAGACTTCTCTTCGAGTGTTTTAATCAAATTCAGGCCAGCCCTGTTTTTTTTTATTTTATTAAAAAGAAAAAACAAATCCACTTGAACCTTGACTCGAGAAACTACCGTCAGTATGGACTATTAATGAATCCAGATCTGATGACCTCTTCACAGGTGTTGCTTGAGCTGAGCTACTGTTGCTTATAGGACAATCAACCCGTAAGCATCATTGACCCTACCTTTTTGCTTCCCTTAGTGACTTTTTTGTTTCAATCCACATTGGTTGTTCCTCTTTCTCCATTACTCTTGTATTGTTTTTGTTTGTTCTTTATATGATACTTTTTTTCATCCTTTTCTTCTTGTTTTCCCTACCTATTCATCTGATTTACAAAAAACTCTATCCAAGTTTTCCATTTTTTTGTTCATTTTTTATAATGCTTTTGTCTATGACATTAGTGTTTGGTAAGATTGCAACATAGACTAGTTATGTTAGATGGGGTTGTTACATTTTTGTGAAAAATAGAGATGAACCTTTTAGATCTTATTAGCTTTGCTAACCTCACACAAGTCTAGTAGTTTTTTTTTTCTTTAATTGTTTTGGTTTCTAATGTTTGTTGTCATAGTAGTTGTTGGAGGGGGACAGTGATTTAAAAGGCGCACTTGAGGCGTGCCTAGGCGCACAAGCAAAGCGCATTTTGGGGTATGCACCTTGCCCAGGTCCTAGGTGCACCCCTTTCAAAAGGCCTAGGTGTGCGTCTGATGTGCCTCAGCTCTCAAGGGGCAACTCGTATAATAAAGAATGCAATTTGTTTTACATCACATTAGGTACTTGAAGAAATGCAATTAAGGAGAAAAGGAGATTGTGGGTTTTATACGCTTGAACATGTTTTATATGTTTGCTTTGATTTTTAAATTTTCATTTGAATACAATTTACATGTTATGTTTATGTATTTTAATTTTAGATAATAGGTTTTTTAAAATATTTATTTTAAAATTTAAGTTTATATTTTTATTAACATTATGTTTTATATTTTTTGAATTTTTAAATTTTTTTTGGCATTTTTTTGAATTTTCTGTTTTTTTTTTTTAGCTTGTTTTTGTAATTTTGTGCCTTGCTTAAAAAGGCGCACGCTTCACCTTGCATCTTGTGCCTTAGGTGAAAATTGGCTCTTGCATTTTTTTTTTTGCGCCTTGTGCTTTCAAAACATTAGAGGGAGAATTGTTTGTCTTTCCTTTCAGCCCATTGAAAATAGTTTATTGCTAAAGCTTAAGGGGCACTTGCCAAGATATGGCAAGTATCATTTACTCCAGCCATGATCCGTGTTGAGTACGATGATAATGATTCATGTTGTTAAAATTTGATTGTTTCACATAACTCATTTCTATCATATTCTACAAACATATATGACCTCTTAGTTTGAAGTATTGCATGAAGATAGGACCAATGAGTTGATCACATGGAGTGAGGCTGAAGAATGAACAATCGTTGAATTGATGGTAGATCAGGTGAAGGCTCACAATAGACTAATCTCGACATTTAACAATGATGGTTGGAAATATATTGTTGAGAAATTCAACAATACACACAATAAGGCAACCCATGACCAATTCAAAAACAAATTCCATCACTTGAAGAAGCAATTTAGCAACTATCAACAAATATGTTACCATACAGGAGTTACAATAGATCCACTAACAAAAAAACTAGCTGTTAATGAGAGTGTTTGTGACTTCTTGATTACGGTATGGCTATTTTACATCCCTTTTATTTGTGTTAATTGAGGGGTTTTAATTAATTGGATGCTAACACTAAACTATTATACTTCTACAAGAAGTATAGGTGGGCAAAGCAGATAAAGAAAAAGGGTTACCCCTATCTGGAGGAGTTGAAGATCATCTTCTCTGGAACTATGCTATAGGAAACACATCTATGAGTAATGTTGAAATACCATCAGATAAAGAGAATGATTATGTACCACAAACTCAAGATCCATTTGTTAACCTCTTTCCCAATGATGTTCATATGC